CTTGCAGCTGGCGCTCCTGGGCCCCGACAGCAGCGCAGTTGCTGAAAGCGCTCGGCGGAGCTTGCTGTGGCCATGCGGCACGGGTGGCTTGCAGCCTGGGCAGTTGTCCCCGTAAAGAGTCTTTCAACAGTTCGCTTATTCCGAGACGAGGAGTGGAGCGCGGGTTTTGGGAGGGCGGGGAGGGCTCCTCTGCTTTTCACTTCGTACGTTAAAAGGAAGGATAAAGAGAATTGGCCGCTTAAAATGAGGAAGGACGCAAATGCAAACCTGAAGAACATAAATGTGCACGAAGTAGATGTATCTTCCTTGGTAAGAGGCGGATCCATTTAGAATCAAGACATTTTAGTTTGAAGTTAAATCCTAACAGCTACCATACAAAGAGAAATAGTCAAGCTTTTTCTAGGAAAAAGTTACAAAAAAGCTTAGAAAATAAAAAAAAAAAATTTGGTCATTAAATCAGGGCTTGAAGTGTCTTAAGCAATGATTTATAGTGCTGCAGCTTGTTTCCGATTAATAACTACAACTTGTTCCCAGTACAATAGCATGAAAAGCTGTTACTTAGTGGGCAGGCACAGAGTTACAGGAGAAACCAGGAGGGCTGTAATACCTTCCCTGTCTATTTGTCCTTTGCGCAGCATGTCCTGTTGTGTCATCGGTATTCATTGTCACATTGTGGCTACACTTGCTTACTTATGTCAGAGTTAATTACTGAACACATGGAAAACTTTTAATTATTAAGCCTGATTATGTTAGAGATTAAGAATCTGGTCATCAGCTGATGCTCAATAAAAACACTATACTCGGCATGATCTTGAAAGCGTATGTCGCCTCATGTGCGTGGGATAACACGAATTATTTCTCTGGTAGCATTTTTGAGATATCTCTAGTTTGGAGACAACCAGGAAGACAACGTATATGATCAATGTGGTTCTTCTGTCACAAGCTCAGAAAAGCAAGAAACTCCAGTAGTTTTGGGGGTGGAAACCTAAGAATGCTAGAACTGAAGAGTGTTAGAGAGTAGCTTCTCTCAATTAAATAACTTTGAGCATCACTTTTTGCAGTTTTTGTTAATGAACTAGATACTTACCAATAGAATCACTAAACAGTAGGATTTATGTTAAAGCCAGAGACACAATGCTGTTTCCAGTATAACACCACAGAAAGACATAGTCTTCTTAGTGACATCTCATGTTATTAGTTTTCATATGCAGTTAGTATAAAAATGCTCCAATTTTGTAAATATCCTCAAGGAACCATAGTAGGATGGTGTCAGACCACACAGAATGGTCTTACCTTCCGGTTTTAAGGATTTCCTCAACCAAAGAATTTATTTTTATATGCTAGATAACACAGTTACTTGATCAAAACCTTGGACCTCAGGAGGGCTAACTTTGGCCTCTTCAAGGAGCTACTGGGAGGAATCCCATGGGCCAGGGCTCTCGAAGGCAGGGGGGTCCAAGAGTGCTTGGTCCTCTTTAAACGTCACTTCCTCCATGCTCAGGAGCAGTGCATCCTCCTGAGAAAGAAACCGAGCAAAGGAAGCAGGAGACCTGCATGGTTAAACAAGGAGCTTCTAGCGGAGATCAGGTGGAAGAGAAA